TCAACAGAAACAATTTCATATCGTGTTACATAATTAGCCCACAGAACTACGGACCTCACATTACCTTGTCACACCCGTGATACCACTCACGCGTTGCCATTCCCGAGTAAACAGCACTACGAACATCACGTTATCATGTGACACCTGTGATACTCATACACTAACATTCCCAAGAACTAAAGTGTAAAGCCTCTTGCTATAATTTTAATTCAATAAAATATAATTGAAATAGTCTTTATTAAATTAAATGTAAATTTAAGTAATTTAGAAAGGTAATACATATTTTTAATCTACCGTTCGTCTATTCGTTCGGAATCCAGACTTCAGTTGAGAAATGAACAAGAATTGCTGCTCTTTTAAATAAAAATTGTTCAAGTTTACATAATTAATTCAGAATTGTGTGATTGTAAACTACCCAATAGCTAATGAATAGCATAAATTGATTAGAATCATAATATAGAGTAGTAAAATCTATTAATTGCAGTAAATAATTACCTTAATAATTATTTCATGGTATTGTACTTTTATATTTATTTCCCGCATACTTCGTCCGCGTGGAATAGTGACATTGACAAAAAAGCCAAAGGAAAACACTTTTGTCGTTCTAGTTTCAAAAATTACGAGTTTCCATACAAATATTTTTTTCTATAACTCTTTTATAAAGACTATATATTTATTTATATTTAATTAACACTAACAAATATTATTTAATTTAATCGAAATCTTAGTTTCAATAAATTAAGTCATTTTCCTTATCATTAATCTCATGGGTGCGCGTGTATTTTGCGAAACAAATAAATCGTCTATTGTCCATTGTTATTATTTCCCTTTTTAAATAGAAACCAGGATGTATCGATATATTTGCATGAATATTTATCATAGATACTGTCGGTTCAGTCGTAAACTGCATTTTAATGCATTTTTATCTGACATATTTGAGTTAGAGCACTCGATGTTTTATGACGTCCGTAAAATGTTTTTTTGTTACCTATACCTCACTTCATCCACATCGTAATATATTGCTGTTTTTTTCCAATGCAATTCATCACTAAAATAGGATATTATCACTTCTTTTATTGGAGTTAGACAAAATATATCTAACTATGATATATATATATATCCAAAATATGAGTCTGTCTAAGTGCAATTTAATATTGTGCATTCCTTTAATATAAAAAATATTGCCTCTAAAATCTGACAGATCTATGAATTACTTATTTAATTATTTAAGAGGGATTAGTACTCAAGAATAAATGTTAATTATATATATAGTTAGAAAATTCATATAAATCTATTCAGTACTTTGGTTTGTCTGATTGGCTTACCAATTAGGTCGCTGCTCTATTTAAACTATATTGATTGGACGGATAATTTTAGTTTAGCAAAGTAGCTCTGGTCGAGTGTCATTCTAGACTAGACTGGGGCGTTAAATATAGCATTTATTTAAAAAATTAAGTAAAGTGTAGCCAGCTTTATTTGAATATACATTTTCGATTTTGAGTATTATATGGTCACATGGACGTAATTTGCCCCAAACTTAAAATTAGGTTTCTTTTAGTAAAACTATAATACCTAGATATTAGAATTTTTAAAGCAGATTATTTTGATTTTTTTTTAAAAGTATATATATAATTGTTTTTATATAAAAAGAAGTTATTCTAATTGTACACAATAATAATAAAAATAAGTATGTTGTCTAGATTTATATTTTGAACCTTTTTTTTTAGGCAGACAATTTCACATGATATAATATGCACTTTAAAATATGTTTGGCTTGCCTAGTAGAACTAGTAAACATTTACACTAGATCTTGCATTTATAATTAAAATTATAGTACCTAATTATTTTTTAGAAAATTTTATGATGCATGAAGCAATATATGGTGAATGTAGTTCCACTAATATATTTCTTTTTCTATTTTCAAAGTGATATTGCTCACTGATACTGATACTTTTGTATAGGTATACAGAACAAAGATTTTATGGGACTTACACACAGATAAAAAAAAATTAAAATTCATTATGTATTTTCAGTAATTATTTGATATAAAAAATAAATTTTTGCATCTTTAAAATATTAATTGTTTTAAACGAGCCTGCATATAGCGCTGCAAAGGCAATTTGATCACTCGTGAAATAGTCTATTTGAAACTAAAATGAGATTGGCATATACTTATAATTCAGACGTTCCTAAAATTCTAATATAATAAAAAATATATTGATTCTGATTTGTTAATACGAAACACGTTTCAAGTACGGCTTGCTCCCAATGGATAAATAAATTACCCGATCAATTCCCACGATGTGTGTGATCGGAAACTCTACTAAGGGCATAATTTATTAATTTGTTTTCCGCTAACGAGCCTGCTAATGCGAACACCACCACTGCCTCTAAAGTGAGGGCATGTCTTATGCAATAGTCAGCCGATAATATATTTATTCTTGTGACTTTTAAAAGAAGGAGATTTTCTATTGGATGACTTTTTCTTTTGATTGTCAAATGACAAATTAATAAATGAAAGGGTTTCTTCTAGTGTTAGTACATATTAATTTGATCACCCATTATTAAAATAAAATTGAAATTATTAGTTAGAAGATTAAATGGACTTGTGGTTGTGATGGTTATCTATTTAATTTGGGATTTGATTGTCGATCAGATACCATACTGGATTGGTTACGGTAATTACAATTGATTCAATTACATGCGGATTTAAAAAGTTTTATTAGTAATTTTTAATGCTTGTTTACGCTTGCTTGCTTGCTTGACTTACTTAAATTTATATTTTAAAGTATTACGAGCATAATGAAACTTATTTACTTATTTTTTAATAAAAATTGAGTTTCAGACACAACCTATAAATAAACATTACTACTAAAATTCGTACCTAAGGTTGAAAATAAGATAATAAAAAAATAAATAAAAAATGTTGTTCATTAAGAGAGCACAATGTTTCATTCTTGTATTGTTTTTACATGATATTTCATAATTCACATATTTATAAGTAATGAATAACTCCATTGAGATTTTAACATCCATTCCATTACAATTCATTACAGATTCATAATTTCAATTACGAAATTTGAACAAAACTTTCTTTGAAGGGCGTAATATTAATGCTCCCTCATACGTAGGTGTTACGTAGAATACTATACAATATGCAATTTTCATACAACCTGTGGAGGGTTTCACAAAACCTGCGTACCTTTATAATTCAGGCTAGAATTGAGCATCACGTATATATAACCTGGACATCAATAATTCATTATAGTTGCAGAGCGTCAGACAAGCCTGCAATAACAATGGATCAATGTTTTGCTGGAGCTTTGAGGCGTAAGGCATTACATATGAGCGAGTAGACGAGGGCCATAAAGTAGCGGTTTTTCTTATAATATTTCAAATTTTAGGGTACTGAGATCTTAGTCCTCAGTTTTTTACATTAAATGTGAAAAATTGTATATAAGGGATTTTTATAAAGCTCCTGACAAATAAAGAAAAATTATATTTTTTCGAACTCAAACTCAAAACTAATTTTAACAACGTTTCGGCATCTTGTATCCGTCTTTTTTTGTATAACAATCCCTATAATCAAATTGAAAATTCAAATACATAAAAATTGTTATAATAGAGGAAATTTATTCCTTATACAATTGAGGCGAATACGTGAGCTTTGAGTGCAAATAAATATAATGAAAATGTTGTCCTTAAAAAATACCTACACAGTTTTTCTAACGTTTTATAAATGTAGACTATCACTATATTTTGAATTAATAGACTTTCTCTATGTGTAATAAAACATATTTTATATTGTAATCTCGGAATTATTATTGGGAATAATTTACTGCTTACGCTTGTGACTTGAACTGCGCTATATTGGGCTTAGCTTTTGCCTGATTGACGGCCATAGCGCCACCAGTGTAACTAGACCCAACATCCTTCCTATATGGATGATTTCTTCTAACATCAATCAGAAGTGGTATGCAACTTCACAGGTATTCTTAGAATGGTTGTTTGCTAAGCGAATTACATCTATTAAGAGTTTGAACTCTTGTTACTTAATGTTAATAGCACGCATTAGACATTTAAATATTTCGTGTAACTTATGCAATAGTATTCAAGTGATAGCTTAATAGCATAGTGACAACAACATTCTATAAGAAATTATATATAGTAAATGATTATTGATATCTACTAAACATGTGGTACTCAACATAATACCTTTTTTTAAAAAGAATAACAAGATAAGAAGTGAGGATTGCGATTTTAATTATATAAAACGTATATAATAAAATAGAAAACTAAAAATTACATATACACTTATTAAAAGTATTTCAGCAAGTTCTACAGCGTTTACCTTTTGATTTTTGATGAAGAACTAAACAAAGGATTTTTCCAAATTGAGAATATTGAAAGGTAAATCTTTTGAAAATCATTTCATCATCAAAATATTTTTTATATGAATCTGTGTATGCCTTTTTATTTTTAGCACTGCATATAAGCAAACAACTGTTTATATATTTTACATATACAAGGCGTGTTTTGTGTGAAACTGTGCAAATTTTACTTGTTTAGAACCATACAGGTTACACTAGGTACTCTATGGTAGTCGCCGTTATGCTCCCCAAATATATGTTTATTTTATTATAATCACAAAATATTCTCCCGTTAGTTAAGGGGGATCGTCACCCGTATTAAACAGGATACGCCTACCAATTTGCTATTGCCTGCAGTTTCAGTAAAAGGTGAAAGTTTAAAAGTTTGGTTGATAAATAGTGTGAGCTTTACTTTTATTTCCAATTTTTTGTAAATAAATGAATATCTCTATAGTTTGTAAGAGAAGATCAGTTTGGGATTTATCTTCTGCCCTACAGATATTATACTTAATATAGTTGAGTTAAGGACACATAATAAAATAAAAGATATTTTCAATGTTGATTTATTTTCAATTTGTATTTAAATATAACTTAAGTTTAAATATTACACTAAATTTATTTACAACCACTATCTGTAGTATTTATAAACGGTACATTTATGTACAAAGAAAAAAAAAACATTTAATAATCTATTCCTTTGGAACGCAATGCACATATATTTGGACGGAATCGTTCATTGCTTATTTATTTACTACAGACCTTAGTTAAACAGCTTACACGTGGCACTAAAATCAGGACCATTATCAGGATCAGTAAAGGTATGTATGATCTGCCTTAATATCCTTTCAGAGGAGATGTTCAGGAAACAAACCAGAGCGCTTTTCACCTTTGCTCCTAATTTCAGTGTCGTGTTTATCGCCTTTATTTACCGCCATATAACTTATATTAAAAATACTGTTACATTCGTCATCTTCCATTGAGCTTCATTGTTAGGAATATAGGAACAAACCTAAGCATAAATGCAACATCAATTTTGTATGTTATTTACAATATATGAAATTATAAATACTATTTTGAGCATAAACAGTTGATTTACAATCTGATATAAGAAAATAATCTTCTAATATCATATAGTATATTTAATAAATTCTTAGCTTTATATACATACTGTATGTCATTTTTAAATGTTTTTCGTCTTTGAAATACCATAGAGATTATCTACTATTGTTCTATGAAATAACATTCATTGTAGTATTATCATTTTTTCTGTACCAATTTATTTAATTCGTTTACATTTGTAACTCACGAATACATATCATAAATACTTACGATAAAGTACTTTAAACTTTTGACTCAACTTATTCTAATACATAATTATAGTACATATAATTTCAACAAACAATACATAACAAGAATAAAATACATAGCTTTGTAGATATCAAAGGAGGATGGTTGATAAAAACTAGGAAAGTTAGGTTTTCTGTAATTTTAAGAACATAATATTACGGCCGACCTTATTGGTTTAGCAGCTTAGCATATCGCTTTACTTCCAATGAGCATTTGTATCGGTTTAGGTGTTTTCTAGGTATATTATGTTAGAACAAAAATTGTATATAAGTATATCTATCTGTTGTTATCTGTATCTATCTTGCAACTAGATGGCGGTATGTGGATTGCCCAGGTTAATATTACTATTATTATAATTAATACATTATAAAATTTATTTTTAAAATTATAAGTGGATTGATTATTTAGAATAGACCCAGGGCATTATTACATCGTGGAAACTTTTTTACTTTTTTATGTACTTGGAATGGTAAACAAGCTTACGGCCCACCTGATGGTAAGTAAGTTACCTTATAGTGACCTGCAATATACTGAGTATGAAAATACCAGGAAAAAATAATTACATTATTTTTTAAATAATGTACTTGTTTAGTAAAGGACACTTTGGTGAAAGCTGACACATTTTTTTTATACCATATTTTAAGTGACCATAGCTCTCTCACTTGGTGGCATTGACATCATGTGACTGTATGTGAACCGTTGGCTGTACTCTGATAGTTTGAGGGTGGTGTCCGACCAGGGTGGGCTGGGGTTCCAACGGTCCATCCCGTCATCTTCTGCCGTCACAGTAGCAGGCACTAACCGCATGCGTTTCGGACTTGGATATTCTACAGCTAAAATGAAAGGCGTGGTCAATAAAACACATAAAAATAATAAAAAACAATTTTATATATTTAAACAAACAAAAGTTTTTATTTATTTATCGTCGCCAATTATGACAGCAGCTTCGTAATTCCTTTCAGGATAAAATATTTTGTTGTGAAGGGCTGCTTCATGACAGAGTAATTTTTGCATAAAATAAAACGAATCACGAATTAAACCAATATTAATATGGATTGCCATATTAATGCATAAATTATATAAATAAAAACAATTTAAAATAATTTTGTTAAAAAAACTACTTTCCCTTACCATCTATTGTCCCACTCGAACACGGACCTTGCATGTATGCAACCCTTGGGTACTGTTCATAGTATTCCCTCTTGCCATGGTGTGGGTACATATACATATTGCTGTTCACCACTATATCTGACGGGGCGTCGTAATGATGCGGAGATCTGTTGACAAGTCAAAATAATTATTATTATCAAGTTCATGATATAATTTATTATTAAATAACCTTTTTTATTAAAGGTTTTGGGCTATTATCAGGTGCTAAGACACGTAGCAGTGCGACCTGAATAAATCGACCTGATATTATGCTCGCCATTTTATAAAGATCGCTAACTAGACCCGTCAGCGATAAGAATTGACTGATATTCTTAGGAGCCATTGTTTGTAACTCCTTAGGATTGACCGTATATACTTTCCAAATGAGATATTTCGTTTATGTTTGATGGCAGGGATATTGTTAAAAAAATATGACGTACAATGAATAAATAATTTTTTATTTGATTTGGGCTTTGTTACGTCTATGACTTACGAAATCCTATTCTATGACTCAGGTTAGCAATTTTAACCCAATATTGAGAACAATTGCAATCATCTTAGTAATAATTTCGTTTAGATATGGATTACGGCCTCGGTGGTCTAGCGGTCTAGCACACCGTTTTACGACCTATGGTCGCGGGTTCGATTCCTTGCACGGCACAAACATTTGTATTCATGAGTATGATTGTTTGTATCGGTCTGGGTGTTTTCTATGTATATTATTTATATAATACTTTTTCTGATATATTTTTAAAAATAAAAATGTAGTTATAGTGTAGAAATTTTTGAATATGTATGATGAGGAAATGTTGTATTTGCTATTTATGTCTTTCCTATCCTAATTATATATGTCCATCAATTATCAAGGACTAATTCTAAATAGGTATAACTGTGTCAAAACATACTGAGCCACATCAAAAAGCTATCATACAGAGACGCTTCACTTTTGAAATCTCCACGTATTTGGTTTACAACAACCCCACGACATTTATAATCGTTTATAAACACGGGCATTCAAAAATAAACTTTAAAGCGAAGACATAAATGTCACGATGATATTTTGAATGATATTAATAATTTTGTAGCAGAGCGTTCACAATAAATATGGTAATGAGAGGTGTCAAATTACGCGGATGGACGGACAGGCGGACAGGGCGATGATTTTCTTATTTATATTGCTTACTTGTGACATGACGGGTACAAATTATGTGAGGTGACCTTGGTGCATGTTTGTTTTTTAACTGCCAGACTTTATAGTTGGTTGGATATTGTACAATCAATAATAAAATAAGGAAACTTTTGTTTTCTAAACAAATGTATAAGTATAAAGATGATAAGACTAAAGCTTTAATTGTAATAGATAAATTCAAAAATCATTAAATTATTAACGATTGAAGTCCTAGTCCCCGTTATTTCGATTTTTATAGGCCATTTAGGACCTCCCGCTATATAATAATATAATATATTTATATAAATGGAATGACAAACAAGTCAACAGGCCATCCAAACCGTCGTCTATATGACCAGCAACTAAAGATATTCCGTTATAGTCCAAGTTCCGTTATAGTTACAGTTTTTGATCACCCAATCGTTGGCATTCCAGAGGAATTGTCCTGACTCTTATCCTGAATATCTCTGCTTAATCTGCACCCTATTGCTATGACTGAGATTCTACATAGTTTTAGTCGCCTATTTCCGCCGCTTGCTTTGTAACCTGTGCTTAAGTTGTAGGGATAAGTAACTGACTCACACCACATATAAATAAAACTGAGGACTGACCGACATCGACTACTTTTTACAGTCAACCTTGGAAAATTTCATTAAGCCATTCATTCGTTTAGTCGAGAAATTATTATTACTATAACTACTAACAAAGTTGATTAAATATATAAGACTATAACGGTAGGTTATTAAAAAAAATTAGCTTAGCTTACCTTTCTTCACTAATTGTGGATTGCGGTGAATGCGTAGAATAGTCCACAGGACCTCTGTCCTGGTATACACGTTCACATCCAGTGAATTCCTCTACACCCTTATGTTGCACATATGATGATACATGGTACCCTGTATATTCCACCTCCTGGTTTTCTATATACTGATACGTTTCCTGATAGGGCTCCTGGTAGCATTGTTCTCGCCTGAAGAACTTCTGGCATCTGGGATCTATCATGTTGCATGGCTGATTTTGGTAACCGTAGTATTGGTACAACCAGGAATTAGCTAACATTATTGATGCCTCTTCTTCACTGTTGATAAATAAAAATATATTATTAACTAGTTTGAAGGTATCAAGGGTCTGCGTGTGCACTTCGAAGACTCCGAAAGATTTCATTGGTTGTTTCGAATTAATAATAAATTCAATATTTTGTGACGTTTGATTGTAATATTAAATTGTTTGATAATATAATAAAAGAAGTCATACATTAATAAATATAATAAAATAAAAGAAGGAAATTGGATAGGTATTACCCAGATCTATTATTTTTCTTATATGATGGATTGATGTACCTACATATATGAAGAAATATGAAAGTATTTATAAAACAATTGCTGCTAATTGCTATAACTTTAAATCGGCTTTACTAAATTGAATATTTTATACTTTTCATTTACTCAATGCAGAGATGGATTAAGAACAAACTCACTGGTGTGTTAAATACATTAAATGATCCGGTAAACTAAACTGATTTAAATTTTACATAGATAAAGGAAAACTTTATTATTAAATTTAATATCTTACTATAGATAAAAATTACCTTAATATCTGATTTGTAGCGACGATAAACTGTCTCGGTGAATCAGCTGCGTCCTTTACTTGTAACACGATATGGACCCAAAGGAATTGGCCGGAACGTTGTTGTAATTTCGCTAGCAGTATGCAACACTTGTCCTGTTCAGATTGTGTTACTGTAACAGAGAATAGTGAAGTTACAGGATAAGAGCATGAGCTCTGGACTACACGCAGGACTGGTATAGCAAGTGTCTCATGATAATATGATGTCGGTAGTGCTGTTCACGTATTAAGCGACGGTAATCGCTTGGCACCTCTCTTACGATTTCTCATATAATCAAAGAAATAGGTTCGATCACCACATAATGAAAATAAAATGATTATGACTTTACTATGTATATTTTTATGTATATATTAACATATAAGTATGTATCAGTACTAAGCTTCCATATTTAATGGCACCGCTGAAAATTAGCGCAGTAGTAAAGCTGAAATATGCTACAATATTACTTACAGAGTTTTGTTACTTTTAGTTGGTATCACAGTTTATAGTTAAATGACTATATATCTATTTAATTACTCGTTATATGATTTGAAATACAGTTATTTTATTACCTATAATAAAACATACGAATATAAATAATGCCCTTGAAGATTAACAACTAATAAAGATACAAATATAAGCACAAATAACTAAGTTATAAAATTAAATAAAGAATATATTTAATTTTATAAGTTAGTTATTTGTATTAAAAATAACTTTTGTATCTGGGATGGGACTGATATTAAATTATTATAATAAAAGTCCCTAAATAAATTTAACTTTAAAAAAAATATTTTTGTATCTGTAAAATTTCAATCCTAAACTCTGGAGATATGCAAATTACTGTTGTGCATATAAAAAGATTGTTTTGTATTTATGTTTGTTGTACTTCTATTCTATACTTACTTAGTCTATGTTTGCTCTGTGCATCTCGTAAACTTTCCCAATGTAGTAATTGGTACCACGACACATCGCACAATTCCTGCTTTTTCCATCCTAAGTACCATTCACCACTGAAATAAATAAATAGAATATAAATAATATAATCATATAAATTTAAAATAAATATAATATAATGGTTCGCTGTCTGTGCATGAAATGTATACGAGAAAAACTATTAATAGGGTTACTATATAAGCGTAAAGTACCCAAAACGGTGTTTATGTTATCCTTAGAAACGATTTATCCGATTTTGCTCTTGTATTGCGTTTAGTTTCACTTAAGTTATTCCAATCGGTTTAAAAACAATTATACATATATATATATATACGAGTACATGCTTGTGAGTAGCTGGCTTAGCTAGTTCAAAATGTGATGTAGGTACCTATATGGTGTAAAAAATAAGAAACGTTCATCATCACAAACTATTACGTTTACAATTCTAGTAGAATGGAAAATGAAAGGTCAGCTAAAAAACATCGAGTCTATCTTACTTTATACATTAGGTAACAGATGATTTAATTTCTTATATTGCAATTAATCTCTGTAAGCACAAAATGTATAGTGGCTTCCTTACTATGTAAAACGTTTTAAAAATCATAATTGAATCATCAGCTCGTATCTCATTCGTCTTACTATCATTTACAAACTTAATTAAAACTTAAGTAGGGACTGCTATTCAGTAAATTGAATACTCTCACCGGGCGAGTAAAGAAATTATGAATTAATTGAAACGTGATTTATGTATTGATTACATTAAATTTAGGTAACTTATTAATTACTTTATTATTAGACGAGCAGTTATAAATAATTAAGAAAAGGAAAGCGTTATAGTCCGCTTCGAATTATCAAAAATGCTTTTAGCAGAAATCTAATATATGCATACTTGTATTTTGTACGAAATACAATTTCATACAAAATATGTATGAAATAATAAGTTACTCTCATGTCTCTTATAGGTGGTTAAGAGAAGTGACAAATTATTTGATCGATAAAATGAATCTAATAGTGCGCGTATGAAAAAGACCTAGACGCCAGACATTGCTTTCTCGTTCCATCTCATTAGCGCGGTGACCTATTTGCTATACATAGATTCAGTTGCCACTTGCTCTGATCGATCCCTGCTCTATTTTAAATACTACTGTCTACGACCAGGTTTGGAAGCATAGAGTTGCCTTCCGAATAAAGCCTGTCTGGTAGGCCTTCAACCATTCCATAAATCCTTTCGCTGATATATTCACGCAGTGTAGCTGAAACACCCTACAGCAGTAGAATTATATAAAACAAATCGTTGTATAGGACATATAAATTTTGGAGGATAAGAATTTTACTTCTCCGAAATAGAATATAAGTCAGCGTCGATGTGCTGTAACTACATTCTATGACATGGAAGCTGGTGATGATTGGTGGTTCTTGGCACGCTTTACCATGAAGTAGAGTCTTTTTTCACGTGTATAGATCGACAGTGCTGTGCTGTTTACTTATTTGGCGTCAACGTGCAGTATAAATATGGCTATATAGCATTCACGGTGGTGAACACTTTAGTGGCACTAGTCTTAGGACTTTGTACCATAACGTACAGTCTTCCTTCTTCCAAACGACTGCGGTGTGTGGTACTTACTTGGCGTCGATGTGCAGTATCTTCATGTCCATGGCGTGCACGGTGGTGAAGACATTGGTGGCGCCGTGCACGACGCACTCGCGTGTCTCCGGCATCGCCAGCGGCGTGCACACCGCCAAGAACACGGGCTCGTTGCGGCTGCATAGCGGCAGGTACGATACGTAATGACCTCTTACAAGAACTACCTACGATCAAAACAGAATTCTATTAATATATAATTATGTACAGAAATTGAATATCAAAATATGTTTATTCATGTTGCTCTAATTACAGGCGCGTATGATAAGTAAAATTTATCGTCAATTCTGAAAGCAGTACGAAACTTTTAGGACGTATGCATGGTATATTGTTATACGTATACTGTTGCAACCCGCCTACGCTAACTGTATACGCTGACGGTGCATCATTAGTGGATGATAGAATTAGCATGGAGTTAGGTCAATTAGCACATCCTTACGAATTCAATGAGAATTTAAAACGTTCCCTATACTAGCAACTCCTCCACCGGTCTGGACAGTGCCCGCAGTCAAAGGATAATTGACATATATATAGGTAGTAAAAACTTACTTTTTGGTCTCCAAATCTCATTTGTCTTCTAGCGTTTCTTGAAACGTTCATTCTACAGAAAAAATGTCTATTCTTTGGTACTATATCAGTCTCTGCATTATCTCCCCTATTCAATTCCATTTGGACCGTCTGGTGATCTTGTCTATCTATTATATCATATACACTGTCGCCGTGAATCAGTAGATCCTCCTGAAATATTTCAATATGTTAATGACTGTATTACCAAAGGAGGATATCAGAGAGATTATAGGTTGCATTATATACATAACAACAACTGATTTTTTACATCGAGTAAATCAAAGTACAAAAATCAACCATAGTTAAGATTAAAACAATAAATTTAGGTTACGCCATATTTATCTGCAATGCTAAAAACAATAAAAAAAATTAAAGTATTTTTTTACACTAGTTTAATATCAAATCAGTGGTTTTGTTCGCCTCTCTGAATTAAATAAAATATAGTGTATATAAAATATCTAATAAAATCCAGTACAAACCATCGAATGTCCTAAATACTCGGCTGCATTTTCCGATATATACAACAGTTTCCCATTCTGTGTCATCATCATCATAAACCCATTCATCGCCTGTAAGGACATTGTAAACATTAGCACATAACAATAGTTTTACAACTAAAACACTCGTAAAACTTGAAAAATACCTTTGAAAATCCAATATTAGGTGTGGGAGTCGCTTGCTCTTGATACTGATAACTGAATTCGTGACTTTTGAACACTAAAACAGAAAGAAAGACGGAATTATGGGTGAAACAAAGATAAGATAGCGAACTAAATGTATTTTAAACGTCTTAATATGATTTCGTGACTGAAGGTGAGTCAACAAAAAGTTTGGGAGACGAAAGGACGAGATGTAGGATAAGGGGACACGTGATGAGCTTAGAAAGATTGGGAGCATGGGAAACTATTGAAGGAAAATTTTCATGCACGTTAAATGGAGCGTAGGGTTATATCTACATGTTGCGGATTTTAATTATAAGGTCCCGCACCTTACCTAACATACATTTTATAATTTAAAGAATAGAATTATAAATAAATAAAAGGAAAAACTGTTTTAACGCCGACGATCAAATATCGTAATATCGTTTTTCTGACATGATATCTTTTATTAAATCGTGATAATTCTAAGCTGAAGGCGTTCAAAAGTTATGAAATTCATGCAGTAAAATACAATTCGATTTCGATTATTCTAAAAAACATTCATTACAAAGGCAAAATTCTGTAATCTTTCTCTTTTTTATTATACATAGTTTGGCGTTTGTAGAGCAATATATTTTGAATAGATTATAAAAAGGTTTTCAGATCTGTGACTGTCTTTGTCAACATTGAAGTAATTTTTTTGGCAAATTACTATGTACTACAGTTTTTCGATGTATTTGTTATTTTATTACTTTTATATATATTTCATCAAATTTTATATAAATCCATAAAACGATTTGATTGAATAAGAAATAATCAAACCTGATTATAGCTTTTACATTTTAGTAGGACATTATTAGAAAGTAAGACCTCTTACTATTACTAAGAGCATTAGTTCAGAAACCTATTTGATTACAGTTATTTGTACTAATATGTAAACACTGAAGTACTTTTTCAAAATGACATTATAGCAATTTGTAAACAACTTAACAGAGTGTTATTGTGAGTATAAATTATTGCATGCATCTAGCGATTGTACCATCGACCAAGACTAATATTTTAGTTGTAGTTTACTATGTAGTAATTTGAGAAGATTATTTTTTTAGATAGCAAAATCAAGTGTATCGGAATACTTGTGTGAGCCTGGATGTAACAACTTTTATATTTCTTTGCAATGCCTACATGAGAACACAGAAATAGGTAAGACAGAAGTGTAGATTAGACCGTGAAATTACGGGATAAGAGGTATGATATTTGATATCACGACTGTGACGATAATGGTGATGTTCATTGTGCTGGTCATGTTCAGGTGGCGGTAACCATCTTACCATCAGATGGACCGCCAGCTTCTATGCTATTGCATTGCTATATATGCTACGCAATTTAAAAAATATCAATTTGACCACCTAATACAAAACAAATAATGAGCATTCCACAGATTTCTCTTGGGAAGTAATTTCAATCAGGCGAAATTATTATTGTTTTTTATTTCTTGTTCATATATACCCTATTTTTTACTTTTACTCGATTAATTACATTAAATTATATTATGATTCCACATAACACATCGTAAAGTCAGTCGCCATATTTATTGTTATTTTTTTTCTTGTATCCTCGATTGGGTTACACGCTGAATATTAGTGTTTTGTTCTCTGAACAATCTTACACACTGAGCTTACGACCTTTTTGTATTGCTTATGTCGAACTATGTTGACATTTATAGAAGAGTAAGTAGTAATTATAAGTATAATATAATGAGTATAACTGTTTGTGATTGGTAATATCAAATAAACAATAATAAATTTTAAAAAAGAGTATGCACATAGAGGATTTTGCAAAAAATCTAGCTCTGGGTAGATTCATGTTGTCCATATTGGATTGGTTTTATTTACCTTGTTGGAAGTAGTTCATCTTTCTAACGTAAACGCAGACAAGAGCCATGAGCTGCAGCTGCGAGAGCCTCTGCCTGGTAGAAGGCGGCAGGGGCAAAAGATCTCGAAGGTTCGAGATCTCTGCGTTGATGAGATCGCGGCGCATTTTGCTGGCTCCCTTTGTTGATTTTGTTGGTTCAAACCTGAAGGAAACATTTTGAGTTTAGTGGAAAATTTGTAATGCATAGTTTACGAACGAGTATAATGAAATTAAACTAAGTAATGGAAATGTGTAAAAATATTCGGAACCATATAAGTCTATGTGACACCTATATTTTAGGTTGCCGTGAAAGAAAGTACTATGACTATGTACTATGACAAAATACTGTAATTACAGCATATGATTGTGTTTGATAGAACAACATACTACAATTCACATTATTTTGAGTACATAAGGTAGGTTTTATTTTTATTTATTCATTTAGAGACAAACGTATATGTGACGTCACGTTTGACCGCGCGCTACTCGGTACTCCACACATAGATACAAGAAATTAATGGAATTAAATGGAAATGCAATTGATATACTACGCGCTTTTTTATTCTTCTATATTTATTTTCATATCGCTTAAACTATAAAAAAGTGGTTACACAGGTATATGGTAAGGAACCTTCATATATAATTGTATATTCATTAACTAAAACGAATACATAATTTTGGTCAGTTTTACATAATACTAGGTTATAAAAAATCTAACATATTTCTGATTAGATTTTGTTTTCTCTTACATATACTGTTAAAGGTAATTTGGTTTTATTAATATTGTTATACAATTTCTATTACTACATTACATGTTATTTATTTCATATGAATACAATCTTATATAAGCAACAATTAAATAATATTTATTAAGGCATATTTAAATATTATTCATCTTAATTGGTTCTGAATAAGGATATAATATCTGGAGATATGTGAACAGTTTTCTAGGATTTGTAGACAATGCGCGGATATTGTGTTCCGGACAGGTGGGCAGGTGCGCGGGCGCAACTTTTGTGACAAGCTAAGAATTAACATAAGACGCGGATCCGCCATTAGAATAGTTGTAAATCCGCCGGCGGCCGGATGCATTGATTTGTTTTTTATATATTAAAACAATTGAATAAAATATTTTTTATACCTTTGAATAAAAATAATAACAATATATCCTAACGACTTCGATCACAGATGAGTCGTGGTGAATACCACTTGATAAGTCCAGATTTCGTTATAAGCATTTAAATCCAACAATTCAGGACGAGTCAACCGCCTCTCTAAATTTAGTGTAGTTTGTTTATGATGTTACATATTACAGGAGAGGTAGTGCATTAAATTTTGATAAAAAGTTTTTTTGAACGGACAGATTCGATTTCATGATCTGTGTTAAATTACTATATTATCGAATTATTATTTCGGTTTTGCGTTGTAGTAGGATGCAAGGGAAAGCTTTCATTTTATCATTTTTTAATATGCTATTTCTTACTCCTTCATCTCTTTAATACTCATTTAATATACCCTAGTGTTAATTTTAATTAAATTTTAGTAAATAAATTAAAACTAGGGTATATTAAATGTTGTTTAAAAAAATAAACTTTTCTAATATTTATAATATGTATATATAATATTTAAAATACTAATGTGAAAATTTTTATATAGCATTAATCGTGCCTAATGCTTTTTTTAATATATATGGAACAGAAATGTTGCATTGTAAGGAGCAAGAAGTATTCTTATGGGTACTCTATTAAAAATCTTCCAAAGCGAAATGCTGAGCATATCTATTGTAGTATTTAAGACACTTTCTTAATAATTTATGACGTGATAATTTGTGACAAAAATTTACGAATACTAACTAATATTATAAATTCGAAAGCATGTTGTTTATTTGTCACGCTTTACAATCTATTATAGTTATCTTTAAACTTACATGTATAATAAACATTACTTATATATAACTCAGTCTTAAGTAACACGACGACGTAAATGGCTCTAATTTAACATAAAATTATTCGAATTCATTAATTGTCATACGGACGAAGATATTATATTGTTCAATATAAATAAAAAAATTTGAAAATTTAAAAAAAATATAGTAACCAAATTGTCTGTTCCATGTGAGAAATACTAATCATAGTATGTGAAATCCTCACTTACAAATCACATTTACGCATTAAATTATCTTTCATTAAAATTGTTTAAAAAGAAAATTTACAAATAGTGCAAACAATACCTCTGTTTACACTATCTGTAATTTTCTTTTAAATAATAAACAATGCAACAAATTGGTGTGAACGATCTTAAGTGCCGCCAGGCAGATCAGGTGGCGCGGATCCAAATATACCCCTACAGCACGTGCGACTCATAATAACATCCACATAAAAATATCCGAAATTCGAAAATTAATTCATCATTAACAGGTACACCGAGGAAGTAGCTTTCCGTTTGATGTTTAACATGCGCCCGCGCACCCGACGATCGTCCGCGCGGCGCTTTCATCTCCCCTGGGAGTCTTTTGTGCTTTTATTTTTATTTGTCTCAGTGATTAGTTGTTTTTTGGTCGTTAAGTATTATTGTGGGAACGATGATTGGTGCCCTGTCGCTTCGTTATTAATTTGATTGAACTCTCAATGATTTGTTGTTTGGTTGTTGAGATTTGAATTGATATATATGTTTGTATGATAATTTTCTTTCCAAAATGTATTATCAAAATTTGATTATCAATAAGAATGTCTCTTGTATCTATTTTATAAATATAATTAAGTATATTTACTACTACCTCTTTAATGTATGAGTAATAAATAAATAACTTTCATGAAATTTTTAGTTCTGTTATTACAAAACTTATTCAATGTAAAATGGTTATAAGGATGTACTTATTACATATATGTGTTATATAATAATGTAATTTGCCAGATATTAAATAATTGCATATGTTAAATAAAAGAATTTTATGATTTTGATACTATAACATTATTTATCGAGTATACTTATATAATACTGATTTAGAATATTTTCTGATCTGTTACAAATAATATACTTACAAAGTATATTTGTGAAACAAATAAGTAAACTTACGTCTTATTTATACATACGTCTTATCTCGTCTTATTTATATTTATACATATAATATAATATATATTTATTAATTGAAACGTATTGGTCAGAAATATATACATTTATTCTATTATGTAATCGTTAAAAAATTGTGTTACCTATATAAAATGAGATATTCCAATTTATGTACATATGTGTATCTATGATGTAGAATAAATATGTGCAAGTAATATATTTGCGAATGAATTACAGATGTTATTTTCAGCAACTGAATATTTAATCTAGTCATAATCGGGTACAAAGTGTCTTGACATAACACACGTATAAAATGTACTTATCACAGTACGTAATGGTTACGTTATTAATGTACTAAAAATAACCGTACTCAGTTTGATTTCCCGTCCAATTGAAACAGGGAAAGAAATGACAAAGGCCTGAGCAGAGCTTCGAATCCCTAATGATACCCTTAGACTAAAGTCGTATCCGTCAGGCAGAAGCTGGCATTCAGCCGCTCCATAAGTTCTTCTGAGAGTTTGGAGTCTTGTTCCCTATTGTTCGGTCAAGCTATAAAGCTCAGGTACGGGCAACAGCAGTAGAATAGTCAAAATAAAGTACAAAAAATATTGTATGTACCGATTTCTAATATATCTAATGCACAGTTAGCTGGTAATGTAAACTTGATTACCACTCAACTATAAATTAGATAAAAAATAGATTATGTACCCTTCTTCTCTGTTTAAGCAGACCGCCTGCTATAAGCTGGAACGCAGAGTAGTATGGATGAAAATGTGATATGTGTCTCAAATGATTATGCACACGAAAACTAAGTTGCAAAATTGTAATAATTTAGGATTAAAATTTGTATGTACCGGTTTATACTAAAATGTTTTATAGCTTACATAAGATCTTAACTTTACTCTATCGATACGAAACCTATTTTTTAATATCAAATATATTAGAATCGTACTATATCAAGATTATATTAAATTCTTCAATATAATTTAATACTACAAAATATCTTGATTTCAGTGGTAATGTAATATTCCTATCAATAAAAAGAGGAAGCAGAATATAATATTTCATAAATAAGCAACGATCTATTTCGATTACTGTCAATCTTAGGAGATTGCAACATGCTTTCAGGCCATCAAGGAAATGTCAATGGTTATCAATGGTTGGTGGTATTTTTTTAAAAATCGAATCGAGAATGTATCGATAAGCGATACGATAGATAATCGTTTACGCGTTCGCTTTCGAGCACAAAAACGCATTCCATACATACGGGCCGTGAAGTGATTTCACGCCACATTCTAGTGCTGAACCGTTTAAATTCCTCTCGAATGCATTAGTGGCGTATCTAGATGTTATATGAATGACAGTCGCTGAGATACTGCTCAAATGTAACATTCAGAAACAGTATGGCAGATTTGAATATTTTTTATGTTTGTTTTTGACTATACCTAATACAGAAGAGATTCTGAAAGATCTGGAACAACATATAACTTGTCATATGTATACAAGTCAGTCATTTTTGTATTATTTCGTAAGATAGCGTATAATTTATCTGATTACGAAATCTTACTTTATACTTTCTTAGAACAAATGTCCCCTTAAAAATTCTACAATAATTTCTGCATTCGCCATTTTTTAATCTGCTGAAACTATAAAAAAACTGCTACATCTTACTTGAAAGTCTACTTACGCTTATATTTTATGTGTTATTATTTTGTAAACTATCGTTTTAAAATTTTGTATTTATTATTACTATTTGTTTTTTTTCATATTACAACAAATTATAGTTTTGAGCCATAAGCATCCACCGAATTTGTGTGACATTTTTGATGTCGATATTGTTAAGTACGCGACGTAGTCATTACAAGAGATTTTTTTTCAACTTGCAATGTGATCAACGTTTTAGTTTGCACTTTACCACCAAAAATTCAGAAAATTCATAGCTGTATTCTACCTCCTAAAACAAACCTTAAAGTCTTTAAAAAGTAAGCGTTTATCTTAAGACCTGATTGGTCGGTCAGATAGATGTAGCGGTACAGAGGATTCTGTATAGTATTTTTCTAGTAAAGTAAATATTAGAACTTACAAACAACATTACTATGTCACCAAATATGACG